TGGCCAATTAATATATAGAGAAAAAATTAGCTGGGCATGGTAGCACATGCCTGTAGTCCCAGCTACTTGGGAGGCTGAGGCAGTAGGATCGCTTGAGCCCAGGAGTTTGAGGTTGCTGTGAGCTAGGCTGATGCCATGGCACTCTAGCCTGGGCAACAAAGCGAGACTCAGTCTCAAAAAAAAAAAAAAAAAAAAGTCAATCTTGACTTGGCAAAGTAATCAAAAGTGCAAGCAAGGTCATCTTGAAAGCTTGAAGTTGGTTATCTTCTCAATATCCTTCTAAATGGAGAGAACAGCCAATATTCCCAAGCAAGTTCATTCTTACTTGAGAGAGTTGACACAATTTTCCTGAGCCCCAGGTTTGAAGGTGAGAAAGCATGGCTGTCTCACAAGCAGGTCAGGCTACATCCCAAGGGCTCTTTGGTACTGGAATAGTGGCTGTGAGGATCCACAACCTGTCACTTCTATCCCTAACTTCTGGTAGTAGTCCCAACCTGCCGACAGTGACAGGCGACATACATATAAGAAGAAAATATTTCTCCCAGCTATAAAAGGGTGTGAGCTCATCAGATACTGTCTTTTTAGGTCCCAAGAACAAAAACAGTTCTGGTTCAAATAGTGTTTGGCATTAATACAGAGAAGAGAGTGCTTCTATCAATGAAAGCTAAAAGTCACAAATGTCTGCCTAATGAAGATATTGAATACTTCTTAGTTCACATATACATATTTATAATTTAAGATATACACCTCTAAAAACAGACAAAGCCATTAAATATAAAATATGACTTCAGGCTTTTAAGAGAAGATGCCCTGGACTTTCCTAAGTTTGGTCTAAGAAATATTTTGGATAGAGTCTGTTCTCACTGTTAGCATTAGCTATGTAAAGGTGTATGTGAATCTAATTTTTCTGGCTAAGTCAGTTGTGTAATTTATATTTATTCACATATTAGCTGCACTGATTCATAAACCCTAATCCTAATTAGGATCCATACATAGTAATTTGTATATAACTAAACATATATTAATAATCATATTGCTTTCGATTATTTACATTTTAAATTATTCATTAGAATGCAGCCAATCATAACAGCTTAATATGTAGGTAAAGACAAGTTTGGTTCACATACACAAAGAACTAAAAAAAAAAAGCAAAACCCTCTGAGTAGAATTTTAGGCATTTACACCCAGGTTGAGATTCTTTTAGTTTGTATTGAATCTGCCTGAAAGTATTCCTATCCAGCACTTTGATGAGAGTTCTCTTTTACAATCTTGTAATCCAACAAACAAAACCTACTTTTTGTTACATAGCTCCTATTCGTGATCATGAAAAGATAAGTTACATCTAACTTTGTTATTTTTCACTGATGTTGCCAATTCACCCAGTGACATGGCATTTGAACTGCTATACTTTCTGCTCTCATTCTTGAAGGGCTACTAGTTACTATCGTTACCATAAGAAACCCAACAATAACCAGCAAGGTACAAACAGAAATTGCACATGCTCAGCATTTTTTTTTGAGACAGGGTTTCACTCTGTACCCCAGGCTAGAATGCAGTCGCATCATCATAACTCACTGCAACTTCAAACTCTTGGGCTCAAGCAATCCTCCTGCTTCAGCCTCCTAAGTAGCTAGAACCACAGGTGTGCACCACCACACCCAGCTAATTTCTTTTTTAATTTTCTATAGAGACAGGGTCTCACTATGTTGTCAGACTGGGCTCAGCTTTATTTATTGTTCAAAACTAACAACCTCATGAAGGTTTTAGAAAATGTCATAGAGTTGAGTCCCTAACATTATGGCAATTTGAAGAGAATAGCATTTCTACCTATAAAAAGTCAGGAAAGATTTGCATGGGTGAACCCCTAACTCTACTTCAAGGGATGCAATAAGATAAAGATGCTAGGTTTATAGATGCAATAAGATAAAGATGCTAGGTTTATTGCTCCCCAAATGTAGCTGCAGTCAGTTCCTAAGGAGCTCAGAATTCTAATATTTATGGAATACATTAATTTTGTCAGAAAGATAGAGAAAGTCAGACAGAAAAGAGCTGCCATGAGTCCTCATATTCCCCAAGCTAAATCATAAAGAAGAGTTATTAACTCTGCCACCCTTTTCCAAGTGGAAACCAGATCTTCTTGTATCTTCTTCTGGGTAGCCTCTCTCTGTCTCCACGGAAGTTCAAGTTTACTACATTTGACCTTTGCACTCCAGCAATCCCAGACCTCTCTAAATGTGTGTCTATTGTAACATCAGATGGAATCTTTCTGCCTCCCTTTGCTCCCAATAGCTTTAAATTACCATATTTCATTGAGAACCATATAGTAACATTGTTCTAAACACTTTGTCTTAAATTATGGGAGACACCATTAGGATTTGAATTTTTTCAAGTAACATCATCTTGAAAGTTGCATCATCTTGAAAGTCAATTGTTTAAGAAAGTGGATCACTAAAAAGTTGAGCTCACTGAAATCACTTTAAACTGTTTTCTACAATACTCCAATTGGTTCATTCAATGTATACTGATTAAGTCCTACCACGTGTAAGGCACTGTGAACCCAAACAAACATAGGTTTACGGAGCTTCAAATCTCCTGATGGAGTGAATATTTCGGAATTTTTGTTCAATTATAAGTTGATATGAGGACCTTTTTAAAAAAATGTTTGCCTTATTTGATATAAGCCAACTCTCTCATCCCAACCTCCTTCCTACCCAATTATCTCTTTAGCAATTCATATTAGTATTTGATAAAGAAACTTTCCTTTCTAAAATCTTTAAATGGTAGAATGGACTCTATGGTATGGCATAGTGGTTTAAAAAATGAGATTTGGAGTCAGAGACTTCAGAAATCAATGCTTATTCTGCCACTTACTAGAGTCGTGGTATTGAAAAATAATCTCTCTGAGCCTCAGTTTCCTCACCTATGAAATAGAAATACTGGTTTTATTTCTTGGGGACATTGTGAGGGCTAAATGAAACAATCTTCATGGATCCCTTAGCATTTCCCCCACATGTAGTGGGCATTCAATAATGGTTTTTGTTACAAAGAAGAGGAGTTCAGATGAGGTGAATGAATACGACTTAGCTGTAGCAGTAGATACAGTGGCAGGACTCTCTTCCTCTGAGAAGAAGGAAAGCAAATCTTGATGGAACCAAAGGAAGCAACATATCTAGAACTAGAGCAAGGACAGAAGTGTGATGCTGGATAAAGAAGAGCATCCAGAGTGTCTTAGTTGGGTTCCACTTAAAGCAGAGCCTGATGCAAGGAATTGGATGCATGTTGTTATTTCTTAGAAATAGGAGCTAGGGAATAGAAGGAGCACGAAAGGGTTGGAGGAAAAGCCAAATGATGTTCCCAAGGGTACAGAAGATCCCTGTTGTTGAAAACAGGGCCTCTCAGAACTACCTGCTCAAAAGACAGGTGGATGGAATATTTGTCCACAGGCCCCCACCTCCCACTGGTTGAGGGCTGCCCTTGAGGGTGTTCATTCTCCCCACATTTCCATGCTAAGCCTGAGGAAGGATTGAGCAAGCTCCCGCAACTTTGGAGAAGGCTCTGAGGCAGAAACTTGGGAGAATCACAGAGTGTTCTGGAGTGGGGCAGTCCAGGCACAAACAGGGTTCCCCAGGAACTGTCCACTGAAGCTACAGCTGAAATCAGAGAGGGAACTCTTAAGGGATGGGTCACAGGGTCTAAACTTATCTTCTACAAATAATTCTTCTGACAAGCCATGGAAAGCATCAAGACAGTGAAAAATGTACTAGCAAACATGAATACAGGCCCCAAAGAGAAATCAGATATTTGAGTTCTTGCACATTTTAGCTTAGCTTCTTTCATAGCCACTAGATTATTGTGACTGAAGTTAAATGAAGCAAAATGAAAGTACAAGGACATAGAATCTTTCCCTTCCCAGAAGTTCTTACCAGGATCAGAATCACAAGGATTTCAAACCTGGCTACCTATGTAGTCACAATACTGCCACAAAAGGAAAGACGTGGCTCCACAAATATTATATGTGCTCATTGCATCTTTCAAGTCTCTATACCTGTAACCACCAAACAGTCTAGTCAGAGCTTGATCTGTGCAAGTAAGTTAAACTCCGCCATCTTTCCTGAAGTCTCCATGGTATAATAAGGTTGGTATCACTACCTACTTGAAATGAGAAGTCCTAACTTGCTCTGGGAACATGATGGAGGAAATTAAACTTAGCATTAAGGAGTTAAAAAGCCTTTGGTTTCTATTTTAAAGGGGGAAAGCTTGGTTGGCCTATCTAATCTGACAGTAAAAGGTAAAATCACTTATAAATGATCATTGATAGATAATTAATTTATATAGTCAATGCCTGGTTGTAATTTCTATCGAATCAAAATGCCCACTAGGGTTGCCAGTGCAAACATTGCATGGGTCATACTCATACTAAAAAATTATTCATTCATTATTGGGAATTCAGACTTAACCAGGCATTTTTTTATTATTATTTACTAAATCTGACAATCCCTGTGCCACCTCCAAACAATTACAGAGAAACAGCTACTTATTAAACCAAGACAATAAATGTTCTGGAATGTTGTACTAAAGGTTCTAGGACTTTTCAGTAGCAGCAATGTTAATAAAGTGACATGAATTGACTATAACAATTTACATATTGTTTCCTTAAGCGTGTTTCTAAAAACTTTTCAAAGCATTTCAATAATTTATTTTGTCACAACATGGCAATTTGTATATTGAAAAAAACACGGTGATGGTAAAAAGGAAAAACTCATTTCAAATAATTCCAAGTGAGCTTTCAAAAGGTTCCCATTTACTTAGGAGTCAAATAGGCGTACTTTAAAATGTTTTTATATCATTGACTTAAATATTGTCTTATAAGTAAAATTTAAATCAACTTGTAAGTCCCAGAACAGTTTGCAAAATTCTCTGATGAAGAGAAATATCAAAAAAAAAAAAACCCACATGCACAGTCACTTCATTTTAGCTGCAAGATTCTCGTTCCAGCTCACCTTGCAAGACAATTTCAGTCAAGTAGAGGTGTTCTGACGATCCCCACTTCGAATGGCAAACAATCCCTGCCTCTTCAGTCATTCACTCATTATCTCTCTAAAAACAGAATGTGCAGTTACCAGAATTTTATACAATTAGTGCTCCAAGAGTGTTTTAAATGCAAACCTATAAGAGGAAAGTAAAAACAAATCAAAGTTAATTGTGACTGGCTGGAACAAAATGCTGAAATCAATAGAAGGATGGCTCATCTGCTCATCATTCACCCATTACCTGGGAGACGAACACCTCCTGCTGTGCTTGATTTTTGATACAGATTTACCATTGCCTGCATCCTGCAGAGGCATGCTAAGGAAACCCAGACCTTGCTGGACTCTCTCTCTCTCCTTATCTTCTTTGCATTTAATAACCTTATTCGATTTTATTTTATTCTTGCTTATGTGTTTGTTGCTAGGCGGGCATGTACACACACACACACACACACACACACACACAGACACAAATCAGAGAGTTTAAAAACTTTATAAAGAAGCTAAGGGCCTTCCTGCAAAGCAGTCAGAGGAGACACCAATATCTGTCTATGTGCTGTCTTCCCTCAACTAATCTCCATAATCTGATTATTGTGATTTTCAGAAAGCCCCCAAAAGGAGAACACACAACCTCTTTCACAAGGCATTCCTTGGAGAAAATATTCTTTATGTTAAGAAATTAAGATATTAGAAGCAAATGAAAAGAAATAAAAGTCCTCTTATTTGGAAGTGTAAGATAGTAAATTCTTTCACCAAAGAGTGGCCTTAAAACCCGGTCACACGGTGTCCAGGTGAAGGACTGGGAGAACAGCCGTAGGCAGATACATGCTCAGAGTTGGAGCCTCTGGCTTCTGAATGCCTTGGATGTTCTTGGCTCTTATCAGTAAAGACAGACTCATGTTGAACCCCAAGCTGCCCTTCTGTAAGTGCCTCTTATCATAACCAAATATCTAAAAAAAAAAAAAAATGGGATGTAAAATGTACCTGCAATTGGAAGTTAATACATATCCCTGAATTAAACATACACCAAATTTAGATATTTTTGCACAAGATGATTGTGTAGATACATTAACTATTTTTTCCAGACAATTATACAAGGGAAAATCTTGGATCTCTATCCTAGTAATAGTGGTAGTAGTAATGATTTCCAAGAAAAAAGCCTAAAATATTTTTGAAATAATTTTAGTTTTTCTTATTCTATCTGACAATTAAATGGATGATGTATAACTACTATCATCATCTATTTACTGGCAATTCTCTTCTTTCAGGTTTCTAGCTTTTTTTTAAGTTGTATATATGGATTAGCTAATAGAAGAGTATAGAAATGATAACATGCGAATAGTAAATCTTGGACTGATGCTACATTACTTTTTCAGCCAAGTGCACCCAAATAAATGGTCTAATCATGTGAAGGTTAAAAATACTGTTCCCAAACTGGAGTATAAATACAAATGGAAAAAAACCTAGGAATACATTGATAGTAGAGGGAAAATAGCATAGTGAAAGGATGACAAGGGGAAAACTGCAATGGTACACAAAAGGAAAAAAAATAAGAAAAATCTGATACAACTGGTAGCTTCAGCCTTTCCATGGACTGTTGGTTTGTATTCCACCTACCACTCTCTCAAGGCATCTTTTTATTTTTTTTTTTTTGGTGGGGGGGAAGAGGGAAGGACATTCATGACCAATAACCGTGTTGTAATGATAGCAAATTTAGGATTTATGATACATTAAAAAAAAAACAACCCTTTAACCAACACTAAAAAGCCACCAAGGGTTGGGGTGGAGGGTAGTTACCTAGCTCACGGTTTTATTTAGTGACGGTTCCACTTTTTCACTCACTGCCTGCAAATCAGCATTTTTAGTGGACAAAGGGCTCAGCAGCGGCCTTCTGATTGCTTCTTTTCAAATGGTAATGGCTATCCTAACTCCTCTGCCAGGTTTTTCTTACCAGAGCACAAATTGCAGTTTACAAGGCTCTGAGGGGGAAAAAAAAATCTTAGCTGAATATCTTTTTTTTTATTCGACAAACTGACATGTAAATTACCCTTTAAGTGCTCCACTCTAGGGCTCTGATCATCTCCTAATTGTCACAGTCAATTGTAGCCAACAGTCTCTTCAATCCCAAGCGCTTTGACAACAAGCACAAGGATCAAAGCAGAATCAGCTCCCTGCAATATCCTTCTGTTTAGGATGCTACAAAATGCCTGCAAAAGAAAGGTGTAAGGGCATTGCTGTAGAGGAAACTGAGAGTAGCGAGCATTACAATAGTCATTTTCTTCATCTCTAAAATTATGCCGTATAAACTGCCATGATCTTTAATCACATGCACAGAACAAATATATAAACCTCCTGGGCAATTAATATGCTCTTAAGATTATACTAATAATTGAGCTTTACAAACAACACCGTCTCCATGGCTTAGGAAAACCATGACACAGTTATGGGATAGCAATCATTTCACAGCAGCCTGCACATCAAAAACTACTGTCAAACATACTCCATGTTTGAGCATAAATTCCAAGGCATAGTTTTTATTACTTAGTTTGGTGTCAGGAGTCACTGCTCCTCCAAACTAAATAGCCCATTGAAAATTCTAGAGTTCTTTAAAAATGGACCTAGAAATGTCCAGCTGAAAATATGGCACCAAATCAATTAAAAATGTGGCTCAAAAATTAACTTCAGAATAATGGTCTTTATAAGGGTAACTCTGTCTTATTGCTTTACAGGAAACAAAGTTATTAAAAGCTATTACATGATCTACAGACATTATTTCTAAATAAGATATATCTATCAGGATCATTACTCAACAGAAGATATCAATCCTTTCTAACGAAAATAGTCATCATGTCACTCACTAACTTTTCAAAAAGGATATTTATGCTTTTTTCTAAAAGACATAAAATTTCATCCTATTAATTATCACAATATAATTAATAATTTAATGGAGAGAGAAAAATCTAATGACAAACCCATACTTTAAAAATAACCCAAAGGTTGTCAGGAAAATAACAGATGGAAAGAAATCAAAGGTGCATGTGACACCCCCCCTATAGCTTGTCTTGTTGTATCCAGGTATTATGCACAAACAGCATGTAAGGTCAAATGTTGATTGACAGCCTTCCTATGCTAAAGAAAAGAACTAAAAAAAAAAGAGGCAGCACATGGCAAATACCTCAGGTTCCTTTCTCAGCTAGTTCACTCAAGTCCCCCTGTAGGGGTTTCCAATCCTCCCCTTAATTTCACCTTGAATTCCCTGGTTTGATTGAAGAGCTTCACAGAAGGGTCTATTACAGATTGAGGAATGATCCATTTCACATCTGAAGCTCCAAAGAGCTACTTGTGAGGAATCTTTGAGTGCATTTATCTCACATGTGAAGCTTTCTGCAAAATCAATATGGGTATTTTTCAGTTTGACAAGTCAACATGAAATATCACATAATAATAGAAAAACAGAGTTGTACATTTAAACATACTCAATACAGTTATCTATGACAAAGCTCATAGTTATTACTCATGGATATCCTTGAGCAAGTCTAATCTAAATTCCTTCTGATGGCTGGGCTAAAGAGCATAGACAGTGTAACTGACTGGTCACCATATTTTTTGCTGTTGTAGCCTAATTAATCCAGGTTCTGCAGTGAGGGCAGAGAATGGGCAGGAATCATAGCCTTTTCTTCTAATTTAAGAGTGATATGATAAGTGGAAGGAAAATAACCAGAGGTGAAAAAGACAAAGTAACAGAACAAAGGAGAACTGTAAAATAATGTCACATTTAGCTAATTGGCAAAACTGGGTAAAATGGTCACCCAAAAAAGGACAACCATGTCTCAAATCCCAGCCATCACTGAGGCAAGTGCTAGCAGGATAATTGACATATTTGTGAATAAGTGATATGTTTGTGTTAGGGTCTGACAATCTTTGGGCAAATTCCAGGCCTATTTTATCATCTGCATAAGCTTGAGGAACATGATTTAACATCTCTAAATCTCTGTTTTTTTCATTTTGAAATGGGATTAATCATAAGATTTACAAGGTTTTGTGGTGAGAATTAAACATAAAGCACTTGGCACATACAAAACATTCCATTCTTGGTAATTATTGATGAAATTATTATAGTTTCTATGAACATATCCACAAACTCTCTAAGGTTCTAAGCTGGTACCATTCCACTGTTTCCTGGGACCTTTACACATTGTTTAAAGTTCCCAAGTTGTAGATGACAGTTCTGGTCAAAGACTGCTCACTAAATTAGTTCTGGTCCTTATGGAGAAGTGCAACTTTTTTCTTAAGAACAGTCTTCCTCCAACCAGGAAGACTGCCCTCATCATTCATGTGGGAGAAAATCAGATGAGAATGTGAAAAGGGGAAAGAACCCAGGCATAGAGTCCAAATCAGCTATTCAATTCAGACAATGGATGAATGTAGAAAAATGTTGCATATAGTTTTCCTTCATATACCAATATGTTATAATTAATAATGGAGTTATCTTCTTATATCCCACTATAAAAAGGACCTTAAAAACAAACAAATGAACAAACCAAAAATCCTCAGGAGAAACCCAGATTTAAATAGTTCACTCTAACTATTCATTCCTTTCTACCACATTTTCTGGTAGCCTATTACTACTTAATACTTAACTATCTGTACTTGGGCCAAGTAATTTACAGATTACTTAAAATATATTCTGAATTTGTTTTTTAATTTAATTTTTAACTTAGAATTTTAATTTTAGGTTAATTCTCCCCACCACTCAGAATAAAGTCAGAGTAGGCAAAACATGAGAGTTTAGAGTCATGAAAATTCATCTTAAAAACAAAATAAGAAAAAACATCATGGTAAAATGCAGCTGAAGTTTAAGAACTCTTCTCCTATATTCCAAAGTCAAATAACTAAATATAAATGACTTTGTGTTTAATTAATTCAAACAATATGTATCAAGAACTTAATATAGGCACTATAGTTAATTTTTTAGCTGCCCTACTGTTCTCCTTTATTATTAAAATTAAGCTATAGCTTTCATTCCAAAGAGAAATTAAAATATTTTATTATATGCTGATACAGAATTACAACTACAAATTGAAACAATTTCCTACTTAAAAAGGGTCATTTCCTCAAAATTTTTAATTTATTTGATTTGGGCTCAAAATACGTTACCAAGGAAACAGATTTGTAAGTGATCATTAAGTTCCCAGATTGATACATAAAAACCTGTTCAATGTAAAATGTACCTGAAACACACTAATAATACCAAGACTTGGGCAACTCTAGGTCATGAGAGCTGTAAATTTAACCCTGCAAAGGCTTAGAGAGTGTCACTGAGCACTGAGCTTAGAAACTTTGGGACATACCAAGTGAGAGATCTGGTAGAAGAATGGATCCCTTGCGAGTCTAGGTGATCACCATTCTCCTCATCATCACCATATCCACATCGTCATCACCACACCATGTTTCACCCAAAGTATTGCTATTAATACATGGTAGCTATTAAGAGGATAATGGTAGGTAGTCAATAAGATAACATATCATCTTGACTTTTTAAGTCAGTGAAGAAGAACTGCTCCAGAATGTCAGGGCCTTACTCTTCTCTGTGGCACTTAAACCTCTTCCGTGATGTTTAATTTCCCATTAGGACCCTGAGCACTTTTGACATGCTTTCACTTAAGCAAACAAGGCTTACGATATCACTATCCAAGTTTCAACACCCGCTCCTTCTGAATTTTGCCTTGTGCTATGGCAAACCACACTCCTTATTCATAGCTTTGAAAGGTCTAGGAAAGGAATTAGCTAAGGAGCTGCTTAACATATTCCCCGGCATTCTGCTAGTACCACAATATTGAAGTGAATATTTGCCTTTTTTTTTTTTGAGACAGAGTTTCACTTTGTCATCTCAGCCAGAATGCGGTGGCGCGTCATAGCTCACTGCAACCTGAAGCTCCTGGGCTCAAGCGACCCTCCTGCCTCAGCCTCCCCCATAGCTGGAACTAGAAGTGCACCCCACTGTACAAGGGCTAATTTTTCTATTTTTGGTAGAGACAGGGTCTGGCACTTGCTCAGGCTGGTCTTGAACTCCTGATCTCAAGCGATCCTCCTGCCTCGGCCTCCCAAAAGTGCTAGGATTACAGGCCCGAGTGACCTCACCCTGCCATGCCTTTTTTAAAGATTTAATGGAAAATAATTTCACAACTTCTGTAAATTACTTACGTATTCCAAAGGTTGTCCTCCTTCGTTATCAGGGTTTTCTAACTTATCCCACTTCTGGTTTTGATTTTAATTATAAACCATACTACTCAAAACTATGAGTAATACCTGTCTTTCGAGTACTTCAGGTATGCCATTAAGTAGTATCGCATAGTTCAATTAACACAAATGCTGACTACGGGGCACTACGTAGCACTCCAGCCACTTGTCCATACCTTTCAAGTAAGTACACAGTACATACTATCCCTACAGTTTGCAATCCACCTAAGTGACCTCTGGCCTCATCAAATCATAATCACAAAATATATACATACCCCATTTAAAAATAGAATTAAGAGGGGGCTGCAGAGGGGAGAGAAATGAAGAGTTTTTTAATGGTACAGAGTTTCAGTGCTGCAAGATAAAAAAGTTCTAGAGATCTGCTTCACAACAATATGCTTAACACTACTGAACTACACACTCAAAAATGGTTAGGATGATAAATTTGGTGGTTTTTACCATAATTAATTTTTTAATAAAAATTGTGGTCAAACTGCTTTAAAAAACTAGTGCATTAATCCAAAAATAAATGAATAATTATGGAACATCTAAAACTAAATTAAGAATATCCTGATATTTAAGTGTTAGGCAGCCAGGATCCTAGATTTTGGCCCGAATTTCTTTTGTATGAAAATACTGCCTAGGAAATTATCTATGAAGTTTTCAACTCCAAATGGACAAACATATGGCTTGACATAGGAGAAACTGCTCATGAAAATATAGGTCAAAACTAAATGAATTAATGAAACTCAGATTATAGAATTTCACTTCTCTTCCGAAAGATTCAAAGAGTGAAACACAAGAAAACCACCACTCCCAGGTGCTATGTTCTAAGGCTATAACTACCACATGCTGTTGCCATTTAGAATCTCAAAATTTCACTGAATTTTCAAAAGACCAAAGCAAAAGTTGAAGCTCATTGAGATAAAAATACTTGAACCCAAACCAAACTAGTTTTCAGTGGTTTCTCTGTTTTTGTAACAGTAGTTCCACAGTACTTTACCACTACTTTCTTTAAGGTTGATGATTTTTTTTATTTTAACATTGTATTCTGGTTAACTTTTTTAAAATTATATTACAAAATAAAGATTTTTCAGGATTCAGGGTCATAATACTGAACAAGTTGAGCAAATCTATATTTGCCCCACACAAAGGTAAGACACAGAAGCTTCAAAAGTAGACAAAATAGGACCAGAGAGTAATGTGAGTAGTTTATGGAAACTAATGTTTTTACTTTACAATCCTGCCTCATATACACAGAATGAAATCAATTAAGAGCAAAAGTAGATCATTACCTTTTTAATGTAAAATCCCAGGGATAAAATGACAAGACAAAAACTAATGGACATGGTACACTGATTCAAAAATTTATTAGAATTTTTTCTCTGCCTTTGCACTCTATTCAATCATTCTATGGCCTGATCATCTTTTTAAGATTTATTTGTAAGAATAATCTGCATAGTTTGTTACATTAGGGGTAGCAAATCCTTGAGAGCCAGTGTGAATCTGAGGTTTATAATCAGACTGACAGTTTGAATAATAATAGTTACCTACAACTAACATATCTCAGGTACTTATATCATCCCCTTAGAGCAAGCATGTGAGTTTGGCACCAATATTCCCCCTGAGATATGAAGAAACTGAGACTTAGTGAGATTAAATAACCTGGCCAACATCATACACTAAAAAAGTGCTGTGCTCTTAACTAGAAATCTCTCCTATATCTTGATGAATTGCCACAAGTGTAGCTTCATTTCAGGGTAGATTATTCTTCCACATCATCTATTACATACTTTTTTTATCTTTTTGATAAATGAGTTCTGTCTTGCTTTTGGGATATTCTCTTGCCTAATAGTTTCTGAATAGAAACCATATTTTGGACACATACACTTGTTTTGATTGACTCTGTGACTGAGCTAAACATGATCATGGGCCAATGTGGCCATTGGCCATCAGCAGCAGCTCCCTTTGTCCCACTGCTACCTCATTAGGCACCTTTGCATGAATTGCTTACATGGAGTGTGAGTTTCATCAAGCAACGGGGTTGCAGACCATTTACTACACGAAGCAGCACCCATAATGGCATGTATTTTGAAATTTACTTGAATTCAGGTCTATAATCTCAAGTAATTCAAGGTATTGAA